AGTTTTTTTACGACAGTTTGCAACACCTGTCCAGACTAGCCATCGCTGCACCCTCTGAGCGTGTCCCTCCACTAATTTCCCTAAAGCAGCTTGGCCAGTGGCCTGAGGAAATCGGGATTATTCAGGCGTGTGTTGGCCGTTGGGGCGTCCTCAAGGGGCTGCCGTCACCTCCCTGACGCTGACAGGTTATGGCCGGCCAAACCACGTTTGTGTGTGTGTGTGCGCATATATAAGTATTGATATACATGGCTATATCTGTCTATACCTATCTGTGTGTGTGTGTGTGTGTGTAAAAATGAGAATAAATATAATAGTATATCGATATGTATATCTGTCTATTTATCTTTCCATCCATCTATCTGCTTAACACAATAGTCGGAAACCGCAGTATTTAAACGGAAGACAAACAGCACGAAAGAAAGAAATATTTACAACTTTAGTAGAATGCAGTTCTCCATAGCTTGCATTCTCTAAGGTTCACGAGAAGACCAATGTTATGAGCTATTACAGAAGCCTTGACTCTCCTTTTTATCTTCTCTGGATATTTATCTTTACATTCTGAGTCAAATGCCTTGATACATGAGCGTCGGACTAAATGTCTCACGAACCATTTGCTTCGGACATAATGAATGTGGAACTGCCATGATTCAGCACAAATCGATATATTCTAATTTTGAAGAGCAGTTTATACTCGACATGTATTAGCGTTTCATCTCAGGAAGTCCTATATATTGCAAACAATGCTTTAGGAAATTAACGTTTCAGTAAAGTGCTAAAAGGAATGAACTAGATATTTCGGTTTAGGTAAGTCTCCAGATTTTCTTTTCCCACAAGAATAGCGCTTGGAAACTTATACAATCGATGGTCTTAGTAAAATTTCAGGAAAAGTATTGGTCAGTATCTCATGACTGAAGCTTATGTCACTGGTCAGGAGTTAGTGCCTCGGTGATTTTATTTTCTGAACAGTGGCTTTAAGCTTTCTCAGTATCAATTATTGAGAATGTAATATATTTTAATTTCCTTAGTTATCATTGTTTATTATTTCAACTATTACTCTTATTAGTAATATTACAAAGATAATAAAAATGATAGTAATAATGTGCATATAAAAAATAGTAATCATAGTAGTAGTAGTAGAAGTAGTAGTAGTAGTAGTAGTAGTAGTAGTAGTAGTAGTAGTAATAATAATAATAATAATAATGATAATAAAAAATGAAAATAAAAATAATGAATCTTTTTTTTTCGTTGTTATTACTTTAATCATTATTCTTATGAATATTTATTACCATCTTCGGCATCATCACCATTACCATCACTGTATGTATGTGTGTGTATGTGTGTGTGTGTGTGTGTGTGTGTGTGTGTGTGTGTGTGTGTGTGTGTGTGTGTGTGTGTGTGTGTGTGCGTGCGTGCGTGCGTACGTGTGTGTGTGTGTGTGTATAAATTATATATATATATATATATATATATATATATATATATATATATATATATATATATATATTATACACACACATATACACATATATATAAAGAGATAGATATCAGAAACATACAATTAGACATAGGAAGTAACAAAATCCTGCAATGGTGGTGTACAGTATTGAACATCCGACCACGAGTTGACACTTTACGTTGAAACCGTAAATTAACGTTACATGTCGAAGTTAACGCGTTTGCTGACTGGGAAGAGTCGTCGTATAAGCCCATGGTACTGATTTAGTAAATCTATACTTATAACAAGTAATACCAGTCTCTGGGAGGTAAAAATCAAGAATAAACGAAAATGTCATGAAATGATCATCTAATCGGAAGTTTTCAACAAAACTGAATTCATCAAATGCATTCCGCATCACTCAAAAGCTACATTCCTTCGAAAGAACAAACTGAATCATTTATCTGTTATTTGCTGCATCGCGCAAAAAGGACGCTGGGTGCTGCGAGCCTCCATTTGCTTCGTCAGCTGATTGCCAATAATGCCGTCGGCGATCAGCCAGATTGGAGGCCGGCGGATTGGTCCGACTTTTTTTTCCGAAAAGTTGTATTTTACGCCCTCAACGATATATCGTATACCATGAATGCCATTTTTTTTCTTCTTTTTTAAAATTATTTCTTCTGACAGTGTTCATTGGGAAAAAATAGACATGCAGTGAAAATCTGCATTTAGACTCCGAAGCCCTGCAATCGAAACGTAAATGATATAAGCTTACGGACATGATGCCATTGTCTTTGGTCAGCTTAAAGTTCCAGTTTCTCAATTAGTTTGTCTGTCCCAGGGGATTCACACATAAATCCTCCTTTCATCCTTTAGGCCAAATGCCCCCGGATTTTGAGGGGCGAGAGGGAACACAACACCACTGCTCTTGATAGGGACGTTAATTTGAATGTCGCGTATTTAATGCTTTCGCTCGGACGACAGGAATTTTCAGTAATACATCGAAACGTTTAAGCAGATAGGAAGCGTGTTAGCTTGCCCTCAGAAAAAAATGGAGATCGTCTACCATATATGTGTATGTGTGTGTGTGTGTGTGTGTGTGTGTGTGTGTGTGTGTGTGTGTGTGTGTGTGTGTGTGTGTGTGTGTGTGTGTGTGTGTGTTTGCGCAAACATATATTTCATATATTAGTTATTTTATTTGATGATGATGATAATAAAAATAATATTGATAAT